GTGGGCCGGGGCTCGCCCATTTCCTCGCCCCCTCCCGCCTTTGGCGGTCGCTTCGTGAGGTGGGCGTTCAGCTGCCCATTGAGGAGGCGCGTGAGTGCGGCCTTACGCCGGGGCACGACTACCTGCTGGTAGTAGGCATTCGGGTCCCCGAGGTCGAACGTTCGGGGCAAGTCGTAGCCGTTCTCCGGCATGAGCAGGATGTACTTGATGTCCTCCCTCCTCGGGTTCTCGGTGTCGAGCTCCCGGCAGAGCCGACGCCTGAGCTCCCGTAGCTCCTCGACCCAGGTGCTTCGGAGCTCTTCCCACAGATCCTTGACCCAATGGTCTGGGAACTCCGAGGGGTCCCTCTCGAAGGCCGCCTCCAAGAACCCTAGCGACCGCCGACGCTCCGCCCCGTGTGCGACCCCTACGATGGACTCGAACATCTGGATCTCGCACCGGGCCCTCTTGAACCAGGTCGCCATGTGGGTGGCGGGCCGCTGGCGGGGCTCCAGCTTGTCGTCCACAGGGAGCCGGTAGCCATCGAAGTCCTCGTCACGCGCGGGGACGCAGTCGTCCACTGCCAGGTCGTGTGGACCCGTCCCGAAGGCGAGCGCCGCGTAGCCGTGCGCCACACGGTTGGTAACCAGGCAGGGAAACCCGATCGTCTTGAGCGTGCTCTTGGAGTGCGCACACATGCGCTTGAGGGAGTCGAACAAGTCCTTCCCCGTGATCCCCTCGCAGGCCTCAACCACGAAGGTGTTGCATCCCCTGGCTATGTAAAGATCCAGTTCCTCGTCCCGACCGATCCCTGCCCTGGTGCCCCGGGCCTTCTTGTCGCCCTCGGTGGCCCGCGCCTGCCGCTCGGCGGCGAGGACGTGGCGTTCGGTGAGGCGGTTCTGGCGATCCAGGCGCTCGATGATCTGGGCTTCGGCCTCGGCTGCAAGCCCGCCCAGGGCGCCCGCCGCCCCGGCGTCGTCTGGACCCCCGGCCCGCTCCCCACCCAGGCCACCCCCGTGGGGCGTCTGGCCAGTGAGGTGCCCAAGGACCGAGGCTCCGTCGAGGAGCGGGTTGGCCCCACGCGCGGGCCCCCCGCGTCCATCGCGTGCCAGTAGGTCCCGATCGCCCAGCAAGCCCCGGCGTGGGCCCGTGGGTTGGACGGGGGGCATGGCCCCGAAGAGCTCGCGTCGGGGTCCCTGCCTCGGGCTGGGACCCCGTCCCCGCGCCGAGCGGCTCCGCGACCCCTCGCGTGAGAGGCTGCCCTGCAGGGATCCTTGTCGGCGGCCGCAGCACGCTCCCGCGCGCGCGCTTCCAGCTGCGCATCCTCCAAATCCGCGAGGGCGCGCTCCAGATCGGGCCCCAGTGGGCCCGCCGCTGCCACCTGTGCGACTCCCCGCCGCAGCTGCCGTTCCGCCTGATCAAGCGGAACCCCGAGCAGGTCCGCGGTCATACCTAATGCGCTGAGGGCCGCCGCTTGGCCCCCCCGTCCCTTGAGATCCTCGGCTCGCAAGGAATCCATGAATATTTCGAGGGGGTCGGGCTCCTCAGCATCCTCGCTCACGCCGGCGGCGGCCGCTGCCAAGCGCGGCGGTGCCGCCACGGGGGCTGGGCGGGGCAAGCCCTCCATCCCGGGCGCAGGTTGCGCCCCCTGCGCGCCGCCCCGCCGATGGTGGCCGAGTGTGCGCACCGGGTCGTGCTGCAGCTGCTGGCGCTCCGTGCTCGTCAGGTAGCGCCGCCTCCAGCCGCTCGCGCTTTCCACGTCCACACCGCCCCACTGCTCCTGGCGTAACATCGCCAGCAGATCCTGCGGGATGTGGTGGGCGATGACACGCAACCCCACTTCCCGCGCGCCATGGGGGACCTCGTACAGCAGCCGGTTGATCCAATCTATCGGGTAGCGCCCGTCCTCCAGCGGAGGGGGGTGCCGTACGACCTCGCTGGCTGGGACCTCCACCCTGACGCCCTCGAGGCTAGTCCCGATGATAAGTCGTGCGTCCCCGCCAGTGCCCCGTGCGTCGAGCCCCTCGCATTCCCCCAATAGAATATACCAAGGACTCGCCGGGGGCGCGCCGTACGCCTCCTCGGCTCCCCGAGGGTCGCCCGGGAGTATCGGGCAGACCTTCACGAGTAGGGGCTCCTGGAGCCACCCGTGATGGGCGATCCGATCGCCCGGGGCTCCGCGGTCGGCAGACCGTGAGCGTTCGCAGGCCCTTGCTTCCGCGGAGCGCGAACGACGCGGCTGCGGCCCAGAGGCGAGGGCCTGCACCCTCGAGGGCTCAACATCGACGGATGGGCCCACGGCTGGCGGTGGCGGGGCAGCGGGCGGGGGGTGGACCGGCCCGGGCGCTAAGCCAACCCCATCGGCGGCATGCGCGGTCCAATCGCGCGCCCTGGCGGGGCTTGGAGCCCGCACTCGCATGCGACGGCGCAGGCCCCCGGGGATCCCAGGTTGGACCGTCGCTTCGACGCGCACGGTGCGACCCTCGTCCCGTCGGAGGTGTTCCCCGCACATCGGGGCCCCCCCACAGCTACCCTTCGCCATGCGGAGGCAAGTGGGGAGGCTGCATTTGCGGCCGATCAGGGTAGACCGGTACTTCTGCGCATGGTGGGCGCAGAGGTGCACCTGTGCATTGAGGCAATGCCCCGGCCGGGGGACGTCCGACACCTCTGCGTCCTCCTGTAGCAGAACAGTCGCCTCCTGCATCCCTCGGTCGCCGCACCCCTCCGGCTGGAGGGGGCGTGCGCCACCTGCGAGCTGCACCCCAACTTGTGCGGCTTGGCAGGGGCGCTCCTCCGCCTCCACCTCGCTCTCCGAATCGATGTCCAGGCGGCGATAGCCCGTGGCGTCGGTGATGTAGCGGGGCTCCGGCCGGCCCCGGCACAGCCATCCAAGTACCGACCAGGGTGAGCAAAGCAGCCACTTGACGACCCCGAATACCTTCCGGAGTCCCACGCCGACTGCCCGGCAGGCTGTGGCCTTACCGTGCTCAGCCAAGTCCACGATCTGTGTGTGGTCAATGGCCGCGTACTGGTCGACATGCATGGGGTGCGCCACTGGACAGGAGGCGCACTCGACGGCACGGCATAGATGCACGTTCCCTGTCTCCTCGAGGTTCAGCCGCCACTTACGACTGGTGCACCCCAGAACCTGCCCGATCTTGATGTTGAGCCCGTGGCGGTCCAGTCGGTACCGGTCCGCGAAGTTGCAGCTGATGCGGGCCACCTGCCCGTGCTTGCGCAGAAGCACGTGGTTGTATGCCCGATTGGTTCCCGGCCGCGGACCCCCTTTGTGTAGAACTCCGTTTCCACCACGCCGCCCAAGCCCGGCCCGCGCCAGCGCACCAGCAAGGGAGTCGGAGGGGGTGGGGGGAGATGGGCGCCGGGCCCATCGCCTCCGCGTCGCTGGCAGCACCGGGTAATCTGGTACCACGCCCAGCGGAGTCCCCCGGCGGCCCACAGCATAGGCTGGGCTGCGGTGTTGACGATGAAAGCCAGGGCACCCAACACGAACGTGAAGATGCCAAGGGCGAAGCAAAGGACAGCGGTCTCCCACCAGTACCCGAGCATCTTAACGCCCAGGCGGTCGATGGCGGATCCAATCCATCCGCCGCTCGCGCGGATCGTGCCAGTGTGGTCGGGGGAACTCACCCACGCTCCGTAGCCCACGAACTCGAAGACCCAGGCTGCGAATCCCCAACCGGGACCTGGCCCCGCCTCCGGGGGCGGGGTAGGTGGCGGCGGTGGCGGTGGGGGTACGTTCCGGCCAGCCCACCAATGGGGCAGGTGCGGGACCCAACCACTCCACCCCCAATACCCGTCCAGCCCGCGCGGCGGTTCAGGCTCGCCATCGCCCGTCCGGTTTCCCGGGGCGGACGGCTGCCCAGGCGCGCCCGTGGGCTCGTCGTTCCCTCCGTATGCCGGCGTAGCTGGGCTGCCCGTGGGCTCGCCCTTGCCTACGCGCCCGATGCCCGCGGGTGTGGTCGTTGTAGTCGACCCTGACCGCGGCGGCGCAGGGACGCCCGGCGTCCCCGGGGGCTTGGCCTGCGGCCCTCGCCCCTTACCCCCTGCAGGCGCGGGCTTGGCGGGCGGTCCTCGCCCCTTGCCTTGCCCCCCACCGCCTGGCGGCAGCGCTGTCGGCCCGGGCAGGGCTGACGGCGTCGGCGCTGGGACCTCATTTCCCCCGCGCCCGAACGGCAGCCAGCCCAGTGCCCCTTGGACCGTGAAAGCACCGCCCATAACCAAGATCATCAGGTGCGCTCCCAGGAAGCCCACAGCCATGGCACCACAGACGCGCTACCTAGTCCGCGGACTAGCACGGCTGTGGTTGTGGCCGCCCCGCGGCCCCCCGGAACACCCGCGCGTCGGCCAGAGCCGAACGCTACGGACCCAAAATGGCTACCTGAGCCCACACACCCTCCCACTTAACCTGCAGTCTACAACCAATCAGACTATACAATTTCCCAATCCCCCCCTCCCCTCAAACTTTGCCCCAGTCGCCTGCAGTCATGAGGACGGCGAGCGGGAGGCTGAGGAGGGAGAGCAGGACGAGGCGCAGGAAGGGGCCAGGCGGTTCAAACGCTGGAGGAGAAGGATAAACGAGCAGCGACTGCGCGAGGTGCGAGATCCTGGAGAAACACGACGGGGCAACATTCCGCCGACCAGGATTTCGAGGCGGACCCAGCATTGGCAACGAGAAGCCTCCACCAGGCCCCCGAAAGGGCAAACATCGCAAACATCCAGCGGGCCGATTTTTCAATGCGTGGGCCATCTTGGGCCCAAAACTTTTCGACTCCTGCCCCATGGCTGTCTTTTCGGCCCCGAGCCGCTCTGGATGGTCGCAAGGCCCGGAACTGGCTTCTAGAGGCCCAAGCTGGTGACAACCTGTGACAACCTGGCCGCCTCGACTGTTGTCAAGACGCCGGAAGCTGGGATCGTCCACCCATGCAACCCTCGAGCCCCGAGTCTCCCTCTGAGGCTGACCAGGGCACCGAGGCGAGCACAGGCTGGGCGCGGGCGGACGCCTTCGTGCACATCGTGCCCACTCCAGGCTTCGAGGAGAAGACCCAGCCCAGGTCCCCAGCCAACTTCAGGAACAACACGTCGCCAGGCCCGGCTACGGTCTTCACCACTCTGGAGAGGTGTTTAGCTGTTGGGTCGAACGAGGGAGGAAGATGGCGATGATGAGAAACGCAAGGGCTGACTATGACGCAACGGCGTACGAGTCTGCATGCGGAGATCAGCGAAGACTTCATGGAATGGCGCTGGACCCCCTTCCCCTGGCGCCCAGCGCCCCAAGATATCCGCGCTGGCCTCCGAAGGCTTATGTTTACGCCGAGGTGAGAGGAGGCTAAAGACGTGCAGGAGAGGAGTCTAGTCGCACTGGCCGTCTCAGCGCAAGTGGTTCAGGGTATTAGCTCTGCCATGCTGCCTTCTCCAACTTCGGGGAGGAGCTCAACCTCTCACCCCATCGTCCCCCAGGGGAAAGGGCGGTCACGAGAAGTCAAAGGTTGCCCCGAAAGGCCGCAAGACGCCCTTCACGACCCCAAAATCCACACCAGAAGAACACGAAGTGGACCCAAGAGGTGATTTTGTCGGACTCCGACGGGGGGGGAGGGGGGACGCTCAATGTGGGATCGCCTGTCTCCTGGATCGCCCCAGGAGGGCCCCAAGAGGAACCCAAATGCGCCCCAGGAGAGCCCCAAGATACCCCCAAGAGGCTCCCGACGGTTCCCAGGTTGGCCATCATTAGGGGATTTCCATTTTGAATCAGCTTCGGGAGGACAATCCTGCGCGAGCTCTGAAAAGACCTTTATGGTTGGCTCTTGGTTGCTCGGGCTGATCCCGAGCTTGAGGTTTGACGGCTGACCCCCCCCCACTCGTTCTGCCACTGCATGCTTCTACGCTTCCCTGCTCACGGCGAACCACCGAATCATACTTTCTGAATGGGCTGGCGAGGGTAATAACGCGACGCGTCAAACATTCTGGAAGCTCCACAAGTGAGCAACGGAGGAAACGGGGTCTCATGCGCAAGAGAAGCGCCGCGACTTCATGTAGGCCGCCAGCGCGGCACGCCGCGTGGAAATGAGGGCGTTCAGGCGACACTGACCGCGCAATCGAACCAGATGTTCTACATCGCTCATGCGTAACTGCTCGCCGCACGACCACTCCGAGGCAGCGGCCACTACGGCATGCCCACTTTGCTCTTTTGCCTCGTGGGTCGGTGGGCCCGTTGCGCTGCCAGAATTCGGGGACTGTGGCAAGCAGGGGACGTACACTCACGATTGCCGGAGCCTAGGCAGACCTCGGAGCAAAACTCCTCCTCGGCTTTTCAAAGTTTCTGGCTTCGCCAATATCTCGAGCCCTGGCTTGCATGGCGGAGGTAGACCCTCCCATTGCATCAACCCTGCTCCCCTTCACAACAAACTGCATTGACACACGGCTGGCGACCCGCCAAACACCTGGAATGAAAACCGATGGAACTCCTCCCGCTTTGGACGGTGTCGACCCAGCACGCGCGAAGCTTCGAGCAGTGTGAAACCAACTCAACTCATCCTCCACATCCTCCCCTGACGGGGAACATAAGGGGTGGACCAGCTCAAGGGGGAACACATCGATCTGGAATCGGCGATACACCGCAGATAGATTTAGGTCGGGCATGTCCCCCAACATGGGGATTTTGAAGGAAACATGGAAAATAGAAAAATACCCCCAAATGGTCAAAAAATGCTCAAAAAATCGTCCCCAGACTATTTTTTGACTATTTTCGAATATTCCCCCTGTAGAGGGACAGACAGACCCGACTTGAAAATAGATCGTCGGCAAACCCCGATATCGAATCCGCACCTGCCTGGGCGGGGTGGGCTACCGGGCCCCTATCGGCAATCGATGAGCGATTAGGGGTCGATGCCTCCTCCCTCTGAGCCGAAGGTCCCCCCGAAAACGCTGCCCCTGAGCATCCGCCGTCTCCTCACTCCACAAGGAGACCACCACACCTGCACACTTACATACAGATAGACTCACTTGCGGAACATGCAGAGGCCACGTCTGGATGCGCACGCGGAGGGCCCGTCCACTGGGCCGCACAAGAGCCAAGCGCTGGGAAGACGTGCTTCCGCGCGTGAACAAGGCTCTCGCACAGGCCAACCACGTCATGTGTATCCAACTGCTTGGGATGTGCCCCCATGTTTTCCCAAATCATCCTGTGGTGTTGGGTCCTCGTTTTGAAGAGATAGTCCCCGCGTCCTTCCCTCCGTCCTTCCGCTCCCTCCTCCTCCTCCTTCTCCGTCTCCTCCTCCTCCTCCGCCTCCTCCACCTCCTCCTCGTCCTCCTCCTCGTCCTCCTCCTCCTCCTCAGCATCGTCACCCTCCGGCACACCCCTCACACGTTCGTGGCCCCATAGGGAGCTCCACCTAAGGCCACAGTGGCGCATCCCGCATGCGGGCGACACCCTCGTTTTGGCACACCCCTCACACATGTCGTGGCCCCACACGGAGCTCCACCTACGGCCCCAGTGGCGCATCCCGCGTGTGGGCGACACCCCCATTTCGGCACACCCCTCACACGCTTCGTGGCCCCACAGGGAACTCCACCTAAAGCCCCAAGGGCGCAGCCCGCATGTGGGCTACGCTCCCGTTTCGGCACACCCCTTACACGTTTCGTGGCCCCATTGGGAGACCCACCAGAGGCCCCAGTGGCGCAGCCCGCATGTGGGCGACAGCCCTGTGTTGGCACACGCCTCACACGCTTCGTGGCCCCATGGGGAGGTCCACCGAAGGCCCCAGTGGCGCAGCCCACATGTGGGCGACGCCCCCGTTTCGGCAAACCCCTCACACGCTTCGTGGCCCCAAAGGGAGCTCCACCCAAGGCCCCAGTGGCGCAGCCCGCATGTGGGCGACAGCCCCGTTTCGGCACACCCCTCACACGCTTCGTGGCCACATAAGGGGCTCCACCTAAGGCGTCAATGGCGCAGCCCGCATGTGGGCGACAGCTCAGACGCGTCGTGGCCCCATAGGGAGCTCCACCTAAGGCCTGAGGCCCCATTGGCGCAGCCCGCATGTGGGCGACACCCCCGTTTCGGCACACCCCTCACACGCTTCGTGGCCCTACAAGGAGCTCCACCAAAGGACCCAGGGGCGCAGCCGGCATGTGGGCGACACTCCCGTTTCGGCACACACACACACACACACACACCTCACACGTTTCGTGGCCCCATGGGGAGGTCCACCGAAGGCCCCAGTGCCACCGCCCGCATGCTCCCTTCCGCCCGTTTCGGCACACCCCTCACACCCTTCGTGGCCCCATAGGGAGCTCCACCGAGCATGCGTCCTCCACACCACATTCGGCGCACCCCTCACACGTTTTGTGGCCCCACGGGAAGCTCCACCCAAGGCACCAGTGCCACCGCCCCCATGAGTCCACCACACCCATTTCGGCACATCTCTCACACGTTTCGTGGCCCCGTAGGGAGGAGCTCCTCCGAAGACTGCATTCCGGTTCTCACAGCTGCATCTGGTTGGGTCCTTCGCCAGGCTTATTTCGTGCGCAAAGCCAACACGGCATCATTGCCCTCGGCTGACCTGACCGCGCGGCAGCCCCTGAGCCGACACCATGAAGCTCCAAAGTCACAACGATGGCGTTGTGCATGCATCCCATGACCCAACCAGCCATTTATATAATCAGACCACCTGGCCCGGCACAGCGGCAACCAGATAAAGAGAGAGATAGAGAGAGAGAGAGAAAGAGAGAGACAGGGAGAGATGCAAGGCAACGTCCCGCGCAAGCCACAAGCGGTAACAACAACGACCGGACTTCTATCACGCAGAGGGGGGAAGCGAGAGGAGGAGAAGGAAGGACACGTGCGCGGATGCGGCGCGGTGAAACACATCGCACCCTTGCAGCTTGAAAGTGCCCGCCAACGCGAGGTAAAACCGGGCAAGCAAGGAACCTGACAGCTGATGCACCGACAGCGAGAAGACAAGGGAAGAAACATCGGGACGCAAGTTGGGCGCACACACGCGCCAACTAGAATGCCGAAATGCAATAACAAAGTACCCACCGCGCGCGAGGCGGAAGGGGAAGGCATGGGGGCGGAGCCCGGGGGGGCAGTGCCCGGGGCCGGCCGACGTGCCCTGCGCAGGGCACGCGCGAACGGCGGGCCCCTGCCAAGCCATAGGTTGGACGAACAATCAAAAATAGTCCAACAATATTCGAAAATGGTTCAAAAATGCTCAAAAATAGTTTTCAGGCTATTTTTTGACCATTTTCGGATATTCCGCCTGTAGAGGGACAGGCCCGACTTAAGCCCAGCCAATCTGGCTGGAGGCACGGCGAATGAGGAAGGGGAAAGAGGGAAAGAACGCTCCAGCGAAGCGCTGCACAGAGCTATGCGGCTGCCGGCTGACTGACTGACTGAAGCCGTGCATCCCTGGCGGACGCGTGGGCAAATTGGGCGAAACAAACTATCACGGAATGTACAACTGCACAAGCACAGGAGGAAGGAGAAGGAGGAAGGGGGGGGAGGAGGGCATAGTACAAAAATCTGTAAACTGACGTCGCCCATTGCTGTCTAGGGCGGCCCCGGCGCCTGCGGAGGGCCCAATTCTTTGGGGCACCGTCGGCGTCGCACCAAATTAGCCTGACGAGAGACCCAACCACATGCAGCTGCGAATGCCGCATTGTGGGTACCGCTTTCGGTGGAGCTCCTTATGGGGCCACGACCCGTGTGAGGGGCGTGCCGAAGTGGGCGCGGTGGCGCCATGAGAACCCTCCCACTGAGGCCTTCGGTGGAGTATCCTCTGGGGCCACGAGACGTGTGAGGGGGTGTGCCGAATTGGGCGCGGTGGTGCCATGCGAACCCTCCCACTGGAACCTTCGGCGGAACTCCCTATGGGGTGCGCCGACATGAGGATGGAACTGCATGCGAACCCTGCCATTGGGGCCTTCGGTGGAGCCTCCTATGGGGCCACGAACCTTGTGAGGGGTGCGCCGAGATGAAGGTGGAATTGCATGCGAACCCTGCCACTGAGGCCTCCGGTGGAGCTCCCTATGGGGCCACGAACCGTGTGAGGGGTGCGCCGAGATGAGGATGTAACTGCATGCGAACCCTGCCAACAAGGCCTTCGGTGGAACTCCCTATGCGGCCACGATCCGTGTGAGAAGAGCACCGAAATGGGAGCGCAACTGCATGTGAACCCTGCCGCTGGGGCCTTCGGTGGACCTCCCCATGGGGCCACGAACCGTGTGAGGGGTGCGCCGAAATGAGGGCGGAACTGCATGCGAACCCTCCCACTGGGGCCTTCGGTGGAGCCTCCTATGGGGCCACGGACCGTGTGAAGGTTGCGCCCAAATGACGGTGGAACTGCATGCGAACCCTGCCGCTGGGGCCTTCGGTGGAGCTCCCTATGAGGCCACGAACCGTGTGAGGGGTGCGCCGAAATGAAGGTGGAACTGCATGCGAACCCTGCCGCTGGGGTCGTCGGTGGAACTCCCTATGTGGCCACGGAGAGGAGGGGAAGAAGGAGGGGAAGGGGAGCCGCTCCCGCCGAATGTCGCTTTGCCTTGCCCGCCCTCTAGGGGAGTACTGCGAGAGGCGCGGCGGGGCAACCCGGGAGGAAGGAGCGGAGCGGGGCGGACGACCTCGACCAGGGAAGGGGGGGGAGGGAGGGGAGAAGGATCGCTCCAGCCGAGCGCCACAGTGAGCTGCGCGCCCTCTGGCTGGGTTCCAATGCATGGTGCGCTGCAGCAGCGCAAGAGGGAGAGCGGAGGAGGGAGGGAGAAATGGAAGGCTCCAAAACACACACTCGGGCAGCGCAAATTCCTGCATTGCTGCGGCTACGCTGACGCATGAGTCGCACCGGACACGGTCGCCGAAGACGCGCTGCGCGCCCGCGTGGCTGCGGCTGTGGCGCCCGCCGTGGCGAGCGGTGGAGCAACCTTGCCAACTCGGTCCTTCCAGGCTTCAGGCCTCCTCTTTGCTCTCCTCTGTGCCCCCCCCCTCCCTCCTCACTCTCCCTCCCCGTCGTCCTCCTCACCACACCCCCTCCTGATCTCTGCATCTGCAATAGATACACACGTCAGGAGAACTTGCTGTAAACAGTCTGGGTCTAGGGGCACATTATTCGGTCGACTTTGGACCTCGCAGAATGCCCCTGGAACTCTAACGATTGCCCAAGACGTCCAGGAATGAGACGCGTCCATGGGGCACCTGCTAGCAGGCCAAGTTATAATCTGGTGCGCCTGTTGTGCCGATTCCTTCCTCCCCCCCTCCTTCCCCTTCTCGCCCGACCCCTCCCGTTCCTTCTCTGCTTCCTCCCCTGGTTCATTTCTCTCTCCTCCTCCTCCTCCTCCTCCTCCTCCTCCTCCTCCTCCTCCTCCTCCTCCTGGTCCTGCTTCCTTCGAGGGACAAGGTCCCTTCCTGCCGGGGCGTGCCCCAGCAGAGCCACCAGGGGCGCCTGTCCCGCAGTGGTGCGTGCGAAATGCGGCGTGGATCTTGTTGGCCGCTTCCCGCAATCACAGCCGCGAACGAAGATGGAGGACACCCAGGAGGACACAGGACCATTCGAAATAATCCAGGAAGGACGTTCAGGGCTCCGTGAGCGCAATGCTGCCTTGCAACCATCTTCGAACCCTCCGTCCGAAGAAACAAACGCACAGCCCCCAGCGGGCCTATGCTCGCTGGTGGCAGGCCGCTGATTGTCGAAACTCTGGGCCCCCGTCCAAGCATCCGCCTGTCTTAGGTCGTCGGTGTGCCAGGGCCGATGAAGCCTGCTGGAGTTGATGCGTAGCGCATTCAGGCGCGACTGCAGGGCTCGACGCAGCGCCAACGCAGTGCGGGACTGCGCGTGCCTCCCCTCGGGGTAAAGACGAAGGCAGGACGAGGACAGCATCGATTGAGGACAGATCGTGACGCTCGGCGAGCTGGTGGGCCCCAAGGGCGCACCGGGCACGCCGCGGCCGCCTCAGAGCGCTCCGAGAGCGCTCCCAGAGCGGCCTGGAACGCTCTCGGGTCGCCCGCCCGACTCGTGCCTCTCGTGGGGCACCAGCGTGGCTCGGAGGAGGGGGGACTCGAGACAGCGGCGGCTCAAAATCGTCCCCTGACCCCTCCCAGGGTCCAAGCGCACCAGTTTTCCAAACTGCGTGCAGCTGTGGCGCCGAGTGCCCCCCCGAAAGCCAGCTACCGTTGACTCAACTCGCCCTTCTCTGAGCGGGGCGCGCCTCGAACGCTCTCGGAGCCCCTGATCCACCCGTGCCCCTCATTCGTGGGCTGCCGTGGCGTGTCCTGAACAGCTCGCCGTCTTCCAAGACGGTGCTGCGGGCCTCCGTGTCGAAGCCCGGGCTCGCGCGCACGCCCAGCGGGGCGCCGTTGACCGGAGTGCACCTCCAGAGCTCCTCCCCCTCGGCCTCGTGGTCCTGGGGCGGGGCGCGGAAGGAGGGGGCCGCCAGGCCTTGCGCCCTCCCACCGCCGCCGCTGCTCCTCCTCCTCGGCCTTCTTGACCTCCTCCCTCGGCCTGCCCCTCGGATCCCGCACATCGTCTTCCTCGGCGTCGTCGTCGTCCTCGTTCTCTTCCGCGTCTTCCCCTTCCTCCTGGTCGTTGCTCCTCCAGCTCACTCCTCCAACATCCCGCCTGCATCGTCCATCTCCTTCCTGCCCCCTCCCCTTACTGCCTCCTTCATCCTGTAGCATGTGTCGTGGCAAATCTATAAAATTTCTCCCCTACCTCTGTCCAACGCCACCATACCCTCTATCCTCCGCCTCCTCCCATGCTGCCCGCAGAGGCTCAGTCCCTCACGCCTGATCCCTGCCCCTTACCTCTCCCTCCAAACTCTCCCCTCTCTCCTCCCAGACCGCCGACGTCGTGTCTTTGTTGCTTCATCTCTCACAACGCGGACCCTGGAAGCTTGGACATCCTTCCTGGAACTGGCATTCGGCCCGGAGCAAGTTCTTGACGGTCCGAGGGCCTGGTGAGCCCCTACGAGGCCCAACAACTGCATGAAATGGTTATTCTTTTCGACAGGACGGGAGGAGGTGGAGAAGACGGATGAGGGTCGGTCGGTCGGTCGGTCGGACTCGGTACTGCAACAGTCTGCATGCCGTGTTGCTGCAGGCCTTCACCAGCTGTTTTCGTTACAGGACGCGAGGAGGGATGCTAGGGCATGGATGCTAAGGGTGCGCCCCAGGCGCGAGGTCATCTCGAAAGTGCCTGCGGACGAGAGCTAATGTCAACGCCGCACACATCAAAGAGGGCCTCCAGACCAAAACTCAGTCCCCGAGGAGCCAGGCCGCCGTTTCTTCCTCGACCTCCAGAGGGCCAGCAGCCAGCTCCTCGAATTCCGAGCTTTCGTCCGCGGGTCCAGGCCTTGGTCCCCCCTCGGCGACTCGCACCTGAGAGCTGTGCGCCTCTCCGGGGGGACCCCCCTCCGACCCCTCAGTTCCTTGGCGAACAGCTTCACCGATGGCAGCTGGGGCTCCCTCCCTTCTTGGGTCGAGTCCCTTCCTGATCCTCGAGGTTCTCCCTGCCCTTCTTGGTCTCACCAGGGCAGGGCTGTAGCAGGTGGCGGAAACCAAGAGTCGCGAAGCGGCCGCGCGTGGCAGAAATGCAGGAGACGGACCCCCACCACCCCATACAGTGGGAGGGGTGGGTCCCCCCCGCAACTCCCAGCTGCTGCTCCTCTCTCCTCCTGCACGCTCGCGGGGCCTTCGCCTCGATCGCGGTCGGCATGGGGGGGGGGGGGGCGCGCAGGGGGTCGCACAAAACTCGGGGAGATCGGCCGCGTGCGAAAGCTGGTGGCAGCACCTGCACTGCCATGTCGGCCCAACCTACAGGAGCGAGCGTGACGAACTATCACTGGCCTGCTGCCGTCTCGACCTCGGCGGCGGGCGAGCGACGCGCACGGGTCGATCGGCGGCTCGCTCGGCGTCGGCCTCGGCGGCCAGCTGGAGGGCACGCCTAGCGCGCTTCCTGACTAGTGCAGCTGTGGCGTCCCAGTGGCGGTCACAGTGCGCAACGTCGTGCACGACCCATCCCACCCAAACCAGCTCCGCCCCGATTCCCGCCCCCGCACATCGGCCGCGGCGTTTCCAGCAGCGAGGAAGCGGCCGCGGGGGGTGGCCAGCTGATCCCCACCATCCTCCGCATGAGAGGACATCCATTCGATCTCGATCCGTCCTGCCGCCCTGCTCCGCAGGGCTTGCCGAATTCTGTGCCACAGGTCATCGTCTGGGCCCCCCGTGCTTTTTCCTGGACCTCTGGGGCCAGGCCGCCCCGAGGGCCCGGTGGTCCGTGACAAACAACAGATCCCCCCCGACGCATCTCCGAACACCGTCATCCACCCGCCCCCCCCTCGATAATCTTCTAGCGCGCCCGCGCCAAAGGACAGCTCTACGCGCGCAAGGCCCTCTTCGTCGAAACGGGGGAGGGCGAGGTGGGCGGGGGGAAGGCCTCTGAGCCACAGCGCTGGAGCGGCCCCTAGGCCCGCCAGGGCCTGTCCAACCGGCGCGCTCGACACTCTGAATTCCTGAAATTCATTTGCGTTTTTAGGGCTCTCCAAAATTCCGTGCGCAAGCGTGTCTGGCGCAGACAGGCAGCGCGGGCAGGTGGGCGACACGTCGTAGCCCGCCTCATGTCTGCGAGCCCTCGTCTACTGGTCTCCGCCGACCACTGTGGCGCTGATGCCCGTCGATCCACCTGTTGTGCTTCGCGAGGCGCCGCTGATCCCTCAGGACCTGCGAAAGGTCAGCGCCGTTCTCCAGGCCGCCACCCGCCTCGTGGAGGGCCGCCTTCCTCCGAAGCTGGTGCTGGAGGTCCCCCCTTGCGTCGGCCTGCAGCGGCGCGTGGCCGATGAAGCCTCCGAAGTCCGCGTTGTCCCGCTGCGCGAGGTGCCACTCCGTGTAGTCGTCGCCCGCAGCTCTTGACGCTTGTCTCGCCCAGTCGCCCATGTGCTCGGGCCTGATCCAGCGCGTCGCCGAGGTCGGCCCCCGGCCCATGTCCATGAGCACCGCCTGCGCCACGCCAGGCGGCCCGCGGACGCGCCTCCACCGGTTGCCATCGGCCGCGGTGAGCGCCTGGCGGACCCGCCCCTCGGCCCTGACGATGCGCGGGTGCAGCTCGGGGGCCTTCTCCCACAGCGCCAGCCGAGAGTCCAGGCCGCTGAGGCGGATGGCGACACCTGGGCCCTCGCCCACCGCGACCGCCAGGGTGGTGGCGAGGCACCTCCCTCGCGCGCGCCCCGCAGCCGCGGCCGCGGCCTGGCGGCGCAGCTCCTGGCGCCATCCCCATGACCTGCGCCCCGTAGGCCGCCTGGCTCGAGCGCGAGGGCCGCGTTCCTCCTCATCCTGGTTATCATGGCCGCCCTCCGACGGCCTGCCCTGCACCTGGGCTCGCTCTTGCGGCAGACTCGCTGCCTGCCCGCAGCTGTGTCGCAGCCGAGGTCGATCGCCGCAGCGGCGCCTGTGACAAGCATGCGCGGCCCCGCCAGCGTGGTGGTCAGGCTCTCGGTTCAGTCCGCGTCAGAGGCCAGCACCGTGGTCTTCTCCGAGATCGTGGAGCCTCGTTCCCTGACGAAGCCCTCCACGAAGACCGCGCTGACGCACTTGAGGCCTCGCGTGACCTCGCTCCTGGGCCCCTTTCCATCTTCGCCGTCGTGTCGTCCACGAAGGTCCAGAGGCCGCAGCTCGGGGCCACCTCGTGAGCCCCCTGAAGCACCTGGCGCATGTGCACCTTCGCGAGGCCCGTGCCTCTCGCCGGGCCCGCCACAACCGCCCTCGCGGGGTGCACGGTGTAGCTGAGCCCGCGGTGGCAATCTCGCAGCAGCCGCGGGGCCAGGAAGGGCTGGACCTCGAGCGCGACAACGATCGCTGGGGAACGGACCAGGCCAGCTCCATCAGCATCGCCAGGCTGATGGCGTCGTAGTGTCTTGAGGCCCAGGAGCAGGGTGCCCAACGGGACGTGGAGCCCCCTACCCACCTCGTCGAGCACCGCCCTGTAGAGGGCCGCCTGCAGAGACGAGCTCCCCTTGATGGCGCCGCCCCAGAAGGCGCCCAGCTCCTCCGCCCATGCCTCGACGGCCGCCCCTCGGGCCTTGCTCCAGGCCTTGGCCAGGAGGGGGATCACCCCCAGGACTCGGTCGCCCTTGACTGGCTTGGGCACCGACGCAGCAAGGACCGTCATGAATTGCCTTGGCCAGCAGCCTGCCTCCTCGCACGCGTTGACCAGGTCCGCGAGCTCCCGCTTGGCTGTCTGCGGCAGCCTGTCGACGCCGAGCGAGCCGAGGACGTCGACTCCCGTCGCCTTCCTGCTCCCGATGGCGCGCACTGCGGCCTCCAGCTCCTCGGTCTGTAGCGGCGGCAGCACCTCCTGCCTGGCGACCTCAAGCGATCGCTGGAGCTGCTCCTGCAGACGCTGGAGGTTGGCCTCTGAGTCCTGCCAGAGGCTGCCCCACTTCTCCGCGCGCTTATCCATGATGCAGCTGGGCTGCGCCACCGTGGCCATGCCGCCATCCTCCTGGACGGCCAGCTCGTTGGCCACGGGCCTGTCGAGCTTGATCATTTTCGTGGAGGCGCCCAGTCCGTTCCTCTTATGCCTCGTGGCCCAACCGACGTGGGCCCTGCGGCCCTCGCCAATGGCTCGGGCCTGCCCCCTCGCCGCCAGCGTCCTGGTGACCTCCGGCAGCCTGCCCATCTTGGGCGCACTGATGCTGCGCAGCTTCTCGGCGCTCTCACGCCAGCCCTCGTCCAGGCCGCCGTCTCCGAAGTACTGCAGCAAGCTCTCGCCCTGCATGGCCCGGGCACTCCGGGCGGCCTGGGCCGCCACCTGCTTCCTCTCATGCGTGTGCTTGCGGCTGCACATGAGGCAGATGTACCGTTGGATGGGCGTCTCGCACGCGTTCATCAGCTCCGCCCTATGGCTGCGCATGTGCGCTCGCCCTGGCGCCGAGCGCAGCCTCGCTCAGGTGACGTCGTAGCCGCGGCCGCGCCCCCTGTAGCGGTGCCGCTTGCTCTCCTCGACGCCGCGGTGGTCAGGGATGCCCCCCCCCTCGACCTTGCCCACCCAGTCGGCGTGGCAGCGCGAGGGGCGCTTCTCCTGCTCGGCCGCGCCCTGGATCTGGTAGGCCAGGTGGTCGCCCAGCTGCTCATGTTCGCCGAGGTGCCCCTCCATGGCCGCCCCGCGGCAGTCTCTCGAGGTCTCCTCCGAGATGAAGATGGTCGACTGCGGCGCGACCCCAGGGCCCGCGCTGTCCATCAGCCCGCTCTGCTGGTCGTCGCACTGCATCTCCTCGCAGGTATCCTGCAACTCCGCTGGCAGTCTGCCCATCCGTTCTAGCAGGCGCTGCTGCTTGGCCCTGCTAGTCCTCCTGTTGGGTCGGCCCGCACCTTGGGCCGCTGGGCCCTGGGGGGCTCCCTGGGGCAGACT